GGCTTCACAAGCTTCAGACATGTAGAGGAATTGAACAGGGCTTAGCCTAAATAGTTGAGAAGTTCGGAGATCAACTATAATCCCTGTCCCCGGTTCAGATTCTTTCCCAAATTGAAGCTCAGGAAATCCAGAATCCAAGCAGAACTTAGCTAAAATAGGTGACGAACTAGAAACGGAAGCTGAATTTAAAGGTGGTGATGATGGGGAAAGCTCTGAAATTGAGGCCACTAAAAATTCTTGACTTTCCTTTTTTCCTACTTGGATCTCCATATCTTACATTTTTATGTACTTTTTAATCTCTTGTGGTTACATGTGCTTATATACTCTTTTATGTTGATGCATTTAGTGTAATTTAAATTTCCGGGGGGATGAAACTGGTACTTGAAACTCTTGTACTATGCAATTTTCAAAAGCGTGTATGCATATATTACTACGTAATACATACAACGTCGGTAATCTATCTAACTGACGTTGTATGTATGTATTATTGAACGAAACCGACGTGGTATATACATATTAAAAATACTTTTGACATCGGTTTTTTGTAAGAACTGACTTGGCAGATTTATTTTATTTTTCGAAAAATACACTTTTGACGTCGGTTTTGTGTAAGAACCGACGTCGTATATTATTATTATTATTTTCGAAAATACACCTTTCACGTCGGTTTTAGAACCGACGTAAAATGTTAATACCTATAACGTCTCTCACTTACACGTCACATATAAAACCAACGTGAAAAGGTCAAAATAACCGAAACCTGAAACCCGAAACCCGAAACCCTAGACCCTAGAACCTGGACCCTAAACCCTAAACCCTACACCCTACACCCTACACCCTAAACCCTACACCCTACACCCTAAACCCTACACCCGAAACCCGAAACCCGAAATCCTAAACCCTAAACCCTAAACTCGAAACCCTACACCCTAAATCCGAAACCTTAAACCCGAAACCCGAAACCCTAAACCCGAAACCCGAAACCCGAAACCCGAAACCCTAAACCCCAAACCCTAAACCCCAAACCCCAAACCCCAAACCCCATACCCCAAACCCCATACCCGAAACCCCATACCCGAAACCCCAAACCCCATACCCCAAACCCCATACCCGAAACCCCAAACCCCAACTCCCAAACCCCAAACCCCAAACCCCAAACCCCAAACCCCAAACCCCAAACCCCAAACCCTAAACCCCAAACCCAAAACCCAAAACCGTATACCCTAAACCCTAAACCCTAAACCCCAAACCCCAAACCCCAAACCCCAAACCCTAAACCCTAAACCCCGAACCCCGAACCCCGAACCCCGAACCCCGAACCCCGAACCCCGAACCCCGAACCCCGAACCCCGAACCCCGAACCCCGAACCCCGAACCCCGAACCCCGAACCCCAAACCCCAAACCCCAAACCCCAAACCCCAAACCCCTAACCCCGAACCCCGAACCCCGAACCCCGAACCCCGAACCCCAAACCCAAACCCCAAACCCCAAACCCTAAACCCTAAACCTTAAACCCTAAACCCTAAACCCTAAACCCTAAACCCTAAACCCTAAACCCTAAACCCTAAACCCTAAACCCTAAACCCTAAACCCTAAACCCTAAACCCTAAACCTAAACCCTAAACCCTAAACCCTAAACCCTAAACCCCAAACCCCAAACCCCAAACCACGAACCCCGAACCCCGAACCCCGAACCTCGAACCCCGAACCCCGAACCCCGAACCCCGAATCCCGAACCCCGAACCCCGAACCCCGAACCCCCAAACCCTAAACCCCTAAACCCTAAACCCTAAACCCTAAACCCTAAACACTAAACCCTAAACCTTAAACCCTAAACCCTAAACCCTAAACCCTAAACCCTAAACCCTAAACCCTAAACCCTTAACCCTAAACCCTTAAGCCTAAACCCTAAACCCTAAACCTTAAACCCTAAACCCTAAACCCTAAACCCTAAACCTTAAACCCTGAAGGCGCGATGGAAGGAACTGCAGTCTTTCTCCTCTTTAAAATGAATGGTGATTCTCCTTGAAAAGGTTGTCTCTTTGCTGGCTTCACAAGCTTCAGACATGCAGAGGAATTGAATAGGGCTTAGCCTAAATAGTTGAGAAGTTCGGAGATCAACTATAATCCCTGTCCCCGGTTCAGATTCTTTCCCAAATTGAAGCTCAAGAAATCCAGAATCCAAGCAGAACTTAGCTAAAATAGGTGACGAACTAGAAACGGAAGCTGAATTTAAAGGTGGTGATGATGGGGAAAGCTCTGAAATTGAGGCCACTAAAAATTCTTGACCTTCCTTTTTTCCTACTTGGATCTCCATATCTTACATTTTTATGTACTTTTTAATCTCTTGTGGTTACATGTGCTTATATACTCTTTTATGTTGATGCATTTAGTGTAATTTAAATTTCCGGGGGGATGAAACTGGTACTTGAAGCTCTTGTACTATGCAATTTTCAAAAGCGTGTATGCATATATTACTACGTCATACATACAACGTCGGTAATCTATCTAACTGACGCTGTATGTATGTATTATTGAACGAAACCGACGTGGTATATACATATTAAAAATACTTTTGACATCGGTTTTTTGTAAGAACTGACGTGGCAGATTTATTTTATTTTTCGAAAAATACACTTTTGACGTCGGTTTTGTGTAAGAACCGACGTCGTATATTATTATTATTATTATTTTCGAAAATACACCTTTCACGTCGGTTTTAGAACCGACGTAAAATGTTAATACCTATAACGTCTCTCACTTACACGTCACATATAAAACTGACGTGAAAAGGTCAAAGTAACCGAAACCTGAAACCCGAAACCCTAGACCCTAGAACCTGGACCCTAAACCCTAAACCCTACACCCTACACCCTAAACCCTACACCCTACACCCTAAACCCTAAACCCTACACCCGAAACCCGAAACCCGAAACCCGAAACCCGAAACCCGAAATCCGAAATCCTAAACCCTAAACCCTAAACCCTAAACCCTAAACCCGAAACCCTACACCCTAAACCCGAAACCTTAAACCCGAAACCCGAAACCCTAAACCTGAAACCCGAAACCCGAAACCCCAAACCCCAAACCCCAAACCCCAAACCCCATACCCGAAACCCCATACCCGAAACCCCAAACCCCATACCCCAAACCCCATACCCGAAACCCCAAAACCCCAAACCCCAAACCCCAAACCCCAAACCCCAAACCCCAAACCCTAAACCCCAAACCCTAAACCCCAAACCGTAAACCCTAAACCCTAAACCCTAAACCCTAAACCCTAAACCCTAAATCCTAAACCCTAAACCCTAAACCCCAAACCCCAAACCCCAAACCCCGAACCCCGAACCCCGAACCCCGAACCCCAACCCCGAACCCCAAACCCCGAACACCGAACCCCGAACACCGAACCCCGAACCCCAAACCTCGAACCCCAAACCCCGAACCCCAAACCCCAAACCCCAAACCTCAAACCCCAAACCCCAAACCCTAAACCCTAAACCCTAAACCCTAAACCTTAAACCCTAAACCCTAAACCCTAAACCCTAAACCCTAAACCCTAAACCCTAAACCCTAAACCCTAAACCCTAAACCCTAAACCCTAAACCCTAAACCCCAAACCCTAAACCCTAAACCCTAAACCCCCAACCCCAAACCCCAAACCCCAAACCCCAAACCACAAACCCCAAACCCCGAACCCCGAACCCCGAACCTCGAACCCCGAACCCTGAACCCTGAACCCCAAACCCCGAATCCCGAACCCCGAACCCCGAACCCCCAAACCCCGAACCCTAAACCCCTAAACCCCAAACCCTAAACCCTAAACCCTAAACCCTAAACCCTAAACCCTAAACCCTAAACCCTTAACCCTAAACCCTAAACCCTAAACCCTAAACCCTAAACCCTAAACCCTAAACCCTAAACCCTAAACCCTAAACCCTAAACCCTAAACCGTAAACCCTTAACCCTAAACCCTTAAGCCTAAACCCTAAACCCTAAACCTTAAACCCTAAACCCTAAACCCTAAACCCTAAACCTTAAACCCTAAACCCTAAACCCTAAACCCTAAACCCTAAACCCTAAACCCTAAACCCTAAACCCTAAACCATAAACCATAAACCCTAAACCCTAAACCTTAAACCCTAAACCCTAAACCCTAAACCCTAAACCCTAAACCCAAAACCCTAAACAGTCTACCAATGAATCTGAAAAGATGCAAAGGTTAGTCATCCTTCTAAGAAAAAAAAACTGAAAAAAATGGTGAGGGGTTGACCAAAATGTTTCTGCTGCTGAAAGGCCCCTTCTTCTGAAAAAAGAGAGGGCCTTTTAAAGAATACACGCTCAGGTGGTCGGCAGAAAGGGCCTTCTTCAGAAATTTTTTGACTTGTCAAATCGATTAGTGTGAACAGAGACAGTTCTGTACTTCGAGACTCTCTAACTTAATGGTGGCTTCATCACCGGCTAACCATCAATTTCAAGAGATTTGATTATAAAAAGACATACAAGTATGTATTTGTTGAAAAATCAGAATGAGATTTAACTTTAAAAAGATATATGTATGTGCTTAAAATCAGAAAGAGAAGACTCCATGTTTGTTATGGCAGCACAGGTTAGAGATTATGACACCTAGGTTAACGTGTTCATTGGTTCTTGAAATTGATGGTTAGCTTATCATCACATGGGTGTTTTACTTTTGACATTATATGAATACAGGCCTTGTTAGTCAAACTAATTTATCTTTCTATTATGTTTTAGTGGATATTTTTGCTGATCGTGTACTCCTATTAAGTTATATATGCTGCTTATGCTCTGATTTATTGGACTATTTCTTCTTTTATCTGAACAGACAAATGAACTTTACCAGCTGGTTGTTGTTGCATTTTGCCTCCTTGTTGCTTAGGTTTGTTTTTCTTAACCTTTTGGATCATTTTGTACTTGATAGTTTGATTTTTGATCGCAAGAGATAAATCCAGAATGTAATTAATATGCTTTAGCTTGGGTCTCTTGCAATCACATATGACTCAAGCATTCTTTCATTGACTAGCAATGTTCCCATTGGCTCAGAAATCAATATATTAGCTTTCTGTGGTAGTTCAACATCTTCAACCTTTCCCTTTATTACAGTGATTCTTTCATCTAGTAATGGATTGCCAGCAATCAACTTTTGTGCATACTCGGCCATTTTGGAAGCTCCTACAGCATAAACATGTTTTGCACCAGCCTGAGCAGCGAATAATGACAAAATTCCACTACCAGCACCAACATCAACCACTACCCGACCATGAAAATCAGACCGGTTCTCAATAACTGTAGCATAATATGTTCCTATCTCGACATAGTCCTGCAACATATTTTGTTGATGTAGAAGCTGTTCATAGTAGTGAAAGTACATCTTGGCAGAAGATGCCTCAATTTTATCATCAAATTTGCTTTTAGAAGTTGGTGCTTGTACATCCAATTGTTTTCTCCACTTTTCGAAGGCGCGATGGAAGGAACTACAGTCTTTCTCCTCTTTAAAATGAATGGTGATTCTCCTTGAAAAGGTTGTCTCTTTGCTGGCTTCACAAGCTTCAGACATGTAGAGGAATTGAACAGGGCTTAGCCTAAATAGTTGAGAAGTTCGGAGATCAACTATAATCCCTGTCCCCGGTTCAGATTCTTTCCCAAATTGAAGCTCAAGAAATCCAGAATCCAAGCAGAACTTAGCTAAAATAGGTGACGAACTAGAAACGGAAGCTGAATTTAAAGGTGGTGATGATGGGGAATGCTCTGAAATTGAGGCCACTAAAAATTCTTGACCTTCCGTTTTTCCTACTTGGATCTCCATATCTTACATTTTTATGTACTTTTTAATCTCTTGTGGTTACATGTGCTTATATACTCTTTTATGTTGATGCATTTAGTGTAATTTAAATTTCCGGGGGGATGAAACTGGTACTTGAAGCTCTTGTACTATGCAATTTTCAAAAGCGTGTATGCATATATTACTACGTAATACATACAACGTCGGTAATCTATCTAACTGACGTTGTATGTATGTATTATTTTTTAAAAAAAATATGGACTTATTACGACGGTTATTGAACGAAACCGACGTGGTATATACATATTAAAAATACTTTTGACGCCGGTTTTTGTAAGAACTGACGTGGCAGATTTATTTTATTTTTCGAAAAATACACTTTTGACGTCAGTTTTGTGTAAGAACCGATGTCGTATATTATTATTATTTTCGAAAATACACCTTTCACGTCGGTTTTAGAACCGACGTAAAATGTTAATACCTCTAACTTCTCTCACTTACACGCACATATAAACCCGACGTGAAAAGGTCAAAATAACCGACGTAAAAAGCCTATTCTCTAGTAGTGGCACCACTATCGAAAAGCCAAGGTTGATTATGCAATTAAGGAGCCGAGTGAGTGTAGTTCACGGCAGGAGCAGATGGGTGTGGCACATTATTTTCTTTCAAAAATCTCTGCAACTTACGGCAATCGCGAGCCGTATGGCCAAGGTGATCACAAAATCGACATTTTGGTGCATTATCATATGACCGACTGGACTGTCCATTATAGTTACCGCGGCCACGTCCACGAGTGTAGGATCCACGACGGTCAGCACCATGGTGGCGATCAGATTGACCACGAGAAGTGTCTGTCCGAGTGGTGGTAGTCACATGAGCAGTAGGCAGAACCACAGCCTCCTGGGCATTAATGGACTGCGATTTTTCTTCATGTTCTTTCAATATGTCTTGAAGTTCCGTCAACGGGAGAGCAGAAGGGTGGACCCGGATAGCCGAAGTGATGACACGGTATTCGGGACCAAGGCCGTTGATGATATTAACGACCAAATCTTCCTCAGGGACGGGATGTTGAGCAAGTGCCAGGGCTTGAGCTATATCATAGACTTCATTAAGATATTCTTGGACAGATCGGTACCCTTTAGGACTTGACCAAGATCCGATTTGAGGGAGAGGATTCTGCCACGGGAAGTACTAGCGTAGGTAGACACTAGTTTCTCCCATGCTTGGCGGGATGTGTTTGCAGATGAGATCAGCGGTTGGATGGTGTCGGAGCAGCTTCCGAGTAAAGCACTAAGAATAGTCCGATCTTGCCGATACCATGTGGTATAGCAAGAATTGGGTTGTGTTTTAGCATCATCTAAAAAGCGGGATGGGATTTCAATAGTGCCGTCAATGTATGACTCCAGACCAAGTCCAATAAGTGCTGATTGAACTTGACTTTGCCAAACGGGGTAGTTGGAGGCCGTTAGTTTGATCGGAAAATGGGTAGCGGCGGTGATCGGGACGACCACTGTAGCAGCGGTGATGACCATGGTGAAGGGCCGGAAAAAAAAAATTGATGATGTATGACAGCTCTTTAAAGTTTGGCTCTTGATACCATGAAGAATTGTATATTTGATATATAATACAAATGTTATGTACATCAATATATATATACAACGCTCTTCATGAAGAGATAACTATGAGCTGCTATTCCTACGCACGGTTACATGAGCTGCTATACATGCTCAACTAACTGGATAATTACAAATAATAATAATAATAATAATACTTAATAATAATTAATAATCAGCAATAGTTATCTAATAGTATATACTTTGAGTGGAATAGGTTGCTTAGTGTTAACGAGAAAGTTTCATCTGTACCATCCTGTGTCAGATTGTTGTAATATGGTTAAACTATTTAAGGTATGTGAAATAATTTTTACAGATTTGTTAATTTCTTTTGTTCTGAGCGATTTATAGTCAGTAATTTAGTTTACTTCTGCTTGGTTTATAAAATAACCATGTCTTGGTTGGTTTTACACTTTCACTTTTCTGGGGATTGTCAAGGAGCCCAATGGCAGACAGATCTCATCACCTCATGATTGTTAAGAAGGTGGCTAACCAACTTCAACTGAGTTCAAGTCTTTTCCTTGATGCCCAAGCTTGTTATGGGCATTTTGCTCAATAATGTTTGAAAGAGTGTTAAACCAGCGCTGAACTTTCTTCAATCACTGCAAATGTTTCACCAGTCTTTGTACAAGCTCCTGTAGAGAAATGATTTGCTAGTTTTGCAATTGACTTTCTGAGGGATGGTGTTTCAACAGATGTTTGTGTTAGGAAATTGATGTAACGTACCTCAAAAGTACAGCAGCGGAAGTTTAAAATTTTCCCAAACAGATCTTTCCTGATTATGACAAAACAACCAATATGATAATAATAACAGATCTGAGTTAGAACTTACAGATCTTCCAGCCTAGCGGTGATAATCCTTGACCTTAGGTATCCACGTGATTTCTCCTTTCCGAACGAACTGTTAGATCTCCCATAGAGAAAGGCTAGGAAATCTCTTCGCAGGGAAATAAACTGGTAATACTGGATCTGAAAACTTCGTATATTAATTATGAAGGAGGATGATGTATTTATACTAGTTCTAAACTAGTTTCCCAATCACAATGAAAGTCTTTCTCATTAATGAGTTCTAGTCCAACTAGGACTAATACTCATAATTAATTAAATAAAGATATAATAATAATAATAATAATAATAATAATAATAATAATAATAATAATAATAATAATAATAATAATAATAATAATAATAATAATAATAATAATAATAATAATAATAATAATAATAATAATAATAATAATAATAATAATAATAATAATAATAATAATAATAAAAATAATAATAATAATAATAATAATAATAATAATAATAATAATAATAATAATAATAATAATAATAATATACATGGTACGTACATACTAAATGGGAATGGGGAATTCACAACCTCATTCCCTTGATGTACATATATTATTATTTTATTTGCATTTTCTTGAATCCATTTTAATTCCAAATTGTACTCAAGAAAATACTAACTTTATTTAATTATAAATACATCTTAATTAAGTATAATAAATCTAATTTATCACACTTAATTTATTCCATCAAATAGAACTCTCCTTCAACATCACGAATTAAATATGTTTAATCTAATTTATATTTAATCCATTTCCAGTATTATGAATTAAATATTATTTATTCCAATTAATATTTAATTCCTTCTAACAATTAAATCAAAAGGTATAATCACTTGTTGTGTGACCCATAGGGTCTTATATATTAAGCACTAATCAAATTAAGGTCTTAGTAGAATCCCTAGACGATTTACCAGACAAACTTAATATATAAGGACGTTTGCGAGGACTATTCAAACTCCCTGTAATATAGAGCTCATAGTGATATGGTCCTTTCATTCAACGAACATTCAACTAAGTCTAGAACATGATAATGTGTCTATTCCAATAACTTAGTTTTTGTCTCTCAATCTTTCTTGATGATCCATAACGATCATATTCGATATCCAAAACGAATATATCCTTGCATTGGCCAATGACTTTATGATCCATCTAGATATGAGAAGTAGAATGTTCTCTCTTAATCTATTATGAGGAATGAATCCTTTCTTGGCTCAACTACTACTCCATGTGCTTCGTGATGCACCCAACACATGTCGTATCTACCCTGATTGGAGTGCAAGCGTTGGTCATGGTCAAAGTACATCACTCCGCACATGTAGTACGTATTGACCTCAAGTCGGAGGACTATTACACTACTCTATACGCCGATAATCCCATAGACACATGAATAGAACTTATCAAATGGTTTCTCGGTGGGTATGCCAATATTCTCTAAAATATCTATGTGACCACCATGAATTACAGGAACTCATAGTTGTGAGATCAACTATACTTTCTAAAAATATGATGCAGTCCACATACCAATCTTATCGCATATCATCAATATCCCATTCTTGATGATCATTGATTGGGGTTATTTTAGGACCTTATGTTATATCATATAAGCTCCCACTTACTTATTGACAACATAAGTCCAAGGGAACACAATTATGAATAAGATATTGACAACCGAAATACTTAATCATCAATGTGTAGTACCGTATATATCAAATATATAAAACTGAATGTGATCAAGTACATATATCTCTAAAAATTGATTGTTGCTAGGACATATATACTAACAATCTCCCACTTGGCCTAGTGCCAATCACCGATGCGTCTAACACCTAGACTTTCAAAAGTCTATCATGTTTCTTCTATCTCAAAGGTTTGGTGAATGGTTCGGCCAAATTGTCCTCTACGGGAAGGCATTCTATTGCAACTCCTCATCTTGCTATTTGTTATCAAAACACGATAGCATACTGGTATTTTCTAGTTCCTTACTTTGCATCTTGGTTCCTTAGCTTGTGCAAATGCACTTACACAGTCACAATAACAATTATTGGATAAATGTTGCTAGGAACTACCCATATTTCTTTAAGGAACTAGCGTATCTTAATGCTTACCTATGTTGCATCAAATGCAACAATTTACTAGGCTCTAGTTGGTGAATTTATAGTAGTTTCTTACTTGCAACTCTTTCAGCACTACTATTACATTGAGACTAAAAACATATACTGACTGTGACTTGTAGTCTTTCTTATCATACATGAAACTAGTGCTAGAATAATTAAATTCTACTAGTTCCTTTTGTCTACCATAGACAAAAAAATATTCATGAAGATTTTGGGTGACTATTTTTTCATGGACTTCAATGAGGGCATATCATTCTCTATGATCAACATATATGATTATAAAGACCACGCTATCCTTGTTGCGCACTCTAAACACGCAAGCATCCTCATTTCATTTGATGAGGTCAAACTATTTGACTATTT